GGATCCCGTACTTAACCTGTCTGAATCTCCACTACCCACTGCTATCCATTTGTATGTTCAGGATTCCGGGTCCATGTGCAAACGGACACTGCATTGCGAGGGCTGAAGGAGGAATGGTCACCAGAGCCATACCGGAGACTGGCCCGGAGCAAACAGACTATCCTTGCCACAGAGCTGAGCACAGAGCAGGATTTCAGGGTTCGCGTATGTATAAAAGAGAACGGAAGTACTACTTTCCTGGGATACTTGTGACAGGGCCTATGTGGCCCAGGTCAGTCGGAGTGTTGACCAGGCCCTCGGGGAGGAGAGGAGGCAGACAGCTCTAGAGGAGCGCCAACTTCCCACGGGTGAGCGCTCTGGGAACAGGACTAGGCGGGACCCACCCCTAACCGCACCAGCCACACACTCAGATTGGTGCCATCGAGAGCGCGGCGTCCTTAAGAGCTCCATGAAGCCCCGCCCCTTCCTGTTCTGGGGGCGTGGTATGGGGCAAGGACCCCGTAACGGAGCTTGCTATTGGCTAAGAGCAGTAGGGTTGGCCTTGCTTTCGGAGGAGCAAAGGAGTAGACAGCTCAGCAGTCACCGAGGGAGTCTAAGCGCGCTGGACAGCAGTGGGAGGTGTGTGAGGCGTGTGAGGCTCACATTGGCCGCAGACCCTCGGGTGCAATCGCCAGGGAGCGAGGACTCTGAGACGCGGCTACTGGGCCACCCTGCCGAGGCTTCAGAGGCACAAACTGATGGGACTGGCTCGCACTGCTGCATCTCCCTGCTCGTCTAAGTGCACTGAACGGTGGCCGCGTTGAAGAAGAAACTGTCGGGGGGCGCGGAGCCCGGAGTCCCAGTGTGGCCTGGAGGAACGGAACCCGTGTCAGGGCGACCCAGGCGGGAGCCCCCGGACCGCACTCGGGTTGTAGGGAGACTCCCACGTCTTCCGAGGGGCCCAGATCCCTGGACGGTCAAGGCTTCGGGGAGGCAACAAAGTCCCCAGCAGGGAGACCGCGTTGGGGAAAGGGTGTGCAGTCCACAACAGTCTCCGAAAGCAGAGCGGAATCGAGTGGGTGCACCCGGGGGCGTAGAGCCCCCATCACGCCTAGTGCGGCGGAGAGGTCAGGGGAGCGAACCCTCGGAGGTCGCAGCCCCTGCTCGGGTTGGGGGCGACTGCCCAGTGAGTCCTCCTGGCCAGCCGGGAGGAGAAGAGCGACACCGAAGCCGGCAGGAGGGGAGCACTTCAAGGCCGGCAGCCGCGGAGGATGGGAGCCTGAGCGCCTCAGAACGCAGAGCGGCAGGGGAAGACCAGGCGAGCTTTGCTGAGGAGGCGCCAGGGGATCCCGAACTGCAGCCTGCCCCCGGGAAGATGGCCCGGCCTGGGCAGCGTTGGCTCGGCAAGTGGCTTGTGGCGATGGTCGTGTTGGCACTGTGCCGACTTGCCACGCCGCTGGCCAAGAACCTGGAGCCCGTGTCCTGGAGCTCCCTCAACCCCAAGTGAGTAACTTATCTGCTCTGGTCCCTGGGGGTGGAAGGCACTCACTCCCTCAGGGTGAGGCCGTGGGCCCCAGAGTGCGAATGGGGAGGTGTTCGGAAGAGGAGCGGCGCCACATTTTGTCTCTGTTTTTTTGCGAGTGTGTTTTCCTGCGGGCGTGAGGGGCAGGGTG